GGGATTGTTTTAATATATATTATTAATTTTAAAATAAAATATCATAAGTCAACTTCCTATTAAGCATTCATAAAGACATTTATGTAATTATGGTAGAAAATGTATAATAGTAATTTTAATCAATTATAGGATGAAGGCATTTTCATAATTATAGTAGGATTGCATTATAATAATTTTGATCAATTATAATATAATAGATATTTTTGTAATTATGGTACGCGGGTAAAATAATAAATAATTATAAGAGAAAGAGTAATTTCATAATTATAATATAAAAGCATAATAGTCAATTTGGACATGTGTCAATTTCTTATCAAACAATGAAAATGGTATTTGATAATTTCTTAAGAGTATTTCTATAATTATGATATGAGAGTATTATAATAAATAATTATAAGAGAAGATATATTTTTGTAATTATGGTATAATAGCATAATAGTCAATTTAGTCATGTGTCAATTTTTTATCAAATAATGAAAAAGGTATTTTGGTAATTTGTTAGGAGAGGTACCAATATGAAACAATTTGAAAGTTCAGATACGAATGTGATAAAAAAAATTCTTTAAGTACCAACGTGACTAAAATTACAAAGTTCAGGCATTAAATATGTATTTAACCCTTTTATGTATTATATAGACTAGAATGCAAACCCGTAACCTACAGAAATAGGAATAATGATTTTTTAAAAATATGTATTATATTCAAAATAAACAAAATAATGAATGTTGATTTGCATTTTTTTTTTATCTAATGTATATGACTCTTAACAGTTGTTCTCCATAGCACTATATGTTATATATATATATATATATAATATGCATAACAAATTTTTTTTTACTTGGAGTCAAGATTAATGATATAGCAAACATAGTTGGCATTTTGGAAAAAATTGAAAATTGAAGAACAAAGACAATATTAGCTATGTTTTTAAGAAGCTATTCATTGATTTTTGACATCATTTCACCTTGCACTATTATTTTAAGACTTTTTCCACTACATAAATTAAAATTCAATATGAATAAAACATCGATAAAATAAGTTACGTTTTGTAGCAAATAACTATTCATATATATATGTATATACCTGCTTTTTTATGAAAACTTCTTTTTTAGTAATTCGCTTACTAACTTTCATTTTATCAAATTGATTGTTGTTGGATTTATCAGATTTCAAACATATGCTATTTTCACTTTCATAGCTAGATTTTATTGACAAAAAGACAATGAAAACAAAAAAAAAAATGTTAGTCAAAAAGGTAAATAAAAAACAATCCAAATAGGAAGAGAATAATAGCAACTTCAATTCAAACTCACCTAGAAAAATCTAATCCATCCCCCATATGTTGTCAAAATAAAAAACATTGCAACCTATTACCCACAAAAACAAACCGAAAGGATATTGTCAAGTTAAACACAATCTTAACTATATTATATTCTATATATGGAAATCTTGAAGCACAAAATTTTTTTTTTTGATTAAGCTTGTAAGTAATATCATACCCAACGAACATTATGCGTGAGAACATTAGCAGTTGAAGCTTCACTAAGATTGTTGAATATATGGCCAATCAAATATATGATTAAGGGTGAAACAATGCCATTAGCAATAGCTTCAATGAGGCCAATAGCCATCAACCACATATCTACACCATCCACAATTATGATAATAAAATGTATAGATCCATTTTTTTTCTTCACAAGGTTGGTTCTAACCTTTTTATTAGTTATTTTCTTATCTTCCATGGCATTTCCTTTTACCTCTTTTTTCATTAGCTATCAATCCATTAATATTAAAAGGCAGCTACAACCATATCAAAATGATTCATTGACCACCAGGAAAGAAATGAAAATAAAAGACAATTGATACCCATGAGTTGGATTTGATTTTATAGATAAAAAGAAAAACATAAGGGAAGTGCCCAGAAAAGATGATTGACTTTCATAATTTTTATCGATAAAAGGTTGTAACAACTCATAATAGATTTATAATAACAAACAATATTGTTATTTTTAGTTATATGACACTTTTCCAATGAATTAAACATGAATCAAATAAGAAATTATTGCCAATTAGTCATTAAAAATTGATGTTTCATCAATCATCTGCTTTAGTTTTATATTATATATTCTTCTTCAAAATAATAACAAATATGATATTTGGCATTTGATTATGATAGAAATGTATTTTGTTGTGAGGTAACACATGGATAGCCTTAGATTGCTCAAAATCTCACAAAGTTTATAGTATGGCCATAAACATTCTTGGTCAACTTCATAACAGAAGCGTGCTTTTACCTTCTTAACCATACAACGCATGAAAAAGAAATTTTGTAGTTAAATGAGAAATTTCAATCCTTCTTTAAGAAAAAAGCCTAAAAGGTCTCATCATTACTTGTGCCCCAACTCTATCAACCTACATATTAAAAACTATAAGAAGACAATAAAGGAAAAAGCGTACAAATGTATCCAAAATGTGTTTTAATAAGCATTCAAAGCTATATCAAAATTGTGTAATGCATTTGTATATGTATGAAAAACACACAAAATGTACTTAAAAATTAAAATAACAAGAAAAAATAGTGAAAAAATGCCTTTTTAATGAGAATTCAATGCTATGTCAAACCAATGAATACTTTTTTAAATTATACTATAGTTGCATTATATATACATCAAATTGAGTGTGAAAATAGAAAGCTTACATTTTCAAGTTAAAATGTTAAAGAAAATAAAATATAGTAGTCGCCTAAATATAATTGAGTCAATGATTTTTTCACGATTCTTAAAAATTTTTATAATAGAAATTATAGATGAATGTTAAAATTTATCGAATCATCATAATGAATAACAACACATTCAAATTACAAAATTTTGACTAAATAAAATTATAATGCAACATGGAAATAAAAAAGGTAAGGGATAGAAATGACCTCAAATAATAATATATTTGAAACCCTTCTAACATCCGTTGAAATTCACAACAAAAGAAAATATATAAAAAAAGCAAAATTGCAACATAAATAATAAAACATTAACAAAAGATAAAGTGCTAGAAATTAACCCACCGTTTTTCTTACAATCGAAACTCATTAATGTAAAAAATTATTAACTTGACAGAAAAATATACTGACCTTAGTGGTTTGTTATATTTGATTAAATTTAATATATAAGACATTAGGCCTTATATACTTTAAATATCTTACATATTGTATTTATATTAGATAAAACATTGGGACCTAATGATAGAATAACAAAGTGAGGAATTTCACAATTCATCATGTATTTTGCATGAAATCATGTAAGGTTAAACAATTTATCAAATTACAATATAAGATAAACAATGTCTATGCATCTAAAAGAAATTTAGCATGCAAATATCAATAATAAAGATTCAACAACGGTGAATATTATTATCAATCAATGTAAGATATCAACTTGTAAAACAATAAAAAAAAATTTAAATCAAAATTTTCAAAATACCTTTATGGTGAATTTTTTCATCCTTTTTTGGAAATCATTTCCGACAAATTAAACAGTGAATGCTACTACCAAAGATAACGTACCAACCACTTGCACCAAACACAAATCAGCCAATAACTAATCACTATCACCAATTAAGGAAAAACAAAAAAATAAAAAAAGAAATTATCTCTTAACCTAAGATACAACAGAGAGCCCATCCCCAATTATTATTATTCTTTTGGGTAGGCATATGACTCAATCCAAAGTCTAAACTCAACATATATTTTTCTCCTTGCAGAAGTGGTAACCCTTCATGCCTCAATTAGTTCCCCACCATCTTCATTGCAAAAAACTCTCCTTATTAGCCATCGATTCAATTGAGTTTTTGTGTACATATCCTCCATGGATCTTTATGTTACTAGACCACTTCCAATTCCATCACCATCCCTCCTTTAAAATCACTCATCGGTTGAGTTCACTTGCTTGAAGATTTAAATGAATTATCATTTTTACAACAAAACATAATTTACAATTGTAAGAAAAATTCCATAAAATAAGTCAAAATTTTGATAAAAAATTTCTATTCAAATCCATGAAATATCGAAAGAGAGAAGAAAAAATAAAGAAGTAAGAATAGCCAATAATGACCAATAGTCTTACCATATTTCGCGCCCTTTTCCTTCACGGCACACCACCTATTTCTCTGCCATGTTCTCGGCTGCTCTTTCTTTTCTAGAAATTTTCCTAATTTTTTTCTCTTTCATCTATTTTCTAATCCAAACTCACCTCATTTAAAAAAAAAAAAAAGAGAAAGAGAGAAAGGTGGCGGCAGTTGATGTGAAAGATTGGAAGAGGTTGCCAGGTTGGTAAAGGAAAATATGCTTCTTGATTTCTTTTAATTTTTTTTAATTCAAATAAACTAAGAACACAAAAATACCCCTTTGTTCTAATTTTGGACATTACTGATCTATCTCTCATCGATAATAGGGACTGCTTTTATATATTGTAGGTTATAGATTATAGATTATAAATATTTATAGATAATCAGATAAAGGTAATTTCAAATAAAAAACAAATTATTACTTTTGTAGGACAATTTAATGAAGTCCTTGCTATATGAGTGGATGAAAAAAGTTTTTCATCTAGACAGTTTGAGAATAAATCTGTTAAGGGTCGGATTACTCATCTGGTACAGAAGGCTGTGGATAAAGTTTTTCAAGTTTTAATTTGGTTTGAAATATTATTTAATTCGGTTTTATATTCAATTAATTTTAAAAAATATAAAAATATAAATATTTTACAATTTTAAAAAATGAGGTTTTTAAGGCCTAATTAAGCTGGCTCTTTTACAAAGATTTTAAAAGCTAAATCGAGTCTGACACACTCATAAGCAGGTCTATTTGATAAAAGGTGCCTTTAGTTTTTCTAGAACTGAGCAGGGCCCCAAATGAGATGGTCAAATTACATATCGATTAAAGGTATTAACCGTTATTTCAAACATGTAAAACTACAAACAGGCTTTTAGTAAAAGTTTTGGTCCGATGAATGATTGCTTAAATTGCAAAGATAGTTAGTGACCTTACTGTTGCAATTTACAGAATAAGAACGATGTTATCTTCATTCTGAATTGCAATTTAATGTATTTCCTTATATCCATAAACAAAAATTACTCTCTTTGCCTTTTCATCATGGTCAAGCTAAATACTTCTCCAATTTCTCTACCTCTTCCTGGCTTCCAATATAAAGTGGTACACGTTGATGTATCTATTAAAAGAACAAAAAAATAGCCCACTGATTATTACAATTACGCGCAAGAAAAAGAAATCACAAACAAGTCAGTAGTTTAATGTTTCTCACCTCAACAGGTTGGATATCAAGGATTCTTTGATGTCCATCAGATCCTTTCCCACCAGCTTTTTCCACAATGAAGCTCATTGGTGCACACTCATACAAGAGCCTCAGCTTGCCATTTTTGCTCTTTTTATCTCTGGGGTAACCATAGATTCTACCATATAGCAGTGTCCGGTGGAAGTCTCCAACCAAGCTTCCAATGTATCTAGCAGAATAAGGCTTGCCACTAGAACCAGGATCTTTGAGGTCATCAATGTACTTCTTCAACTTGTCATCCCACAACTGGTAATTGCCTTCATTGAATGCATATATTTTTCCAGCTTTAGGTATCTAAATATTTTCTTGAGTTAAGACAAATTCACCATACATAGGATCCAAGGTGAACGCAAACACGCCTTTCCCTAAAGTGAGCACAAAGATTACAGAGCTTGAGTACATGCGGTAACCAGCAGCTAGTAGATTACTCCCTGGTTGGCACACATTCACAACACATCTTTGTTCTGTTGAATCAAGCTGCAGGACATGCATGAAAAAGTTAGGATTTTCTAGGTATAAAAATATCTGAAATTTGCATAGTTTGGAAAATAATTCAATAAAATGGATAAGGAGTAGTTACAGTGGAATCATCACCGATGTCTGCCAGGCATTCATCGTTGGGGATGTATATTCCAAAAATGGAACCTGTAGAAACAGCAGCATCAATGTTGGACGATCCATCAAGTGGGTCAAATACCACGATATAGTTTCCAGAGTAACTCTCTTCTACTGCCACTGGCACATCTTCTTCCTCTGAGGCTATAATCCCTGTCCTTCCACTTGATCTCAAGCAGTTGAAGAATACCTGTAAATGCAAAATAATCAGTTTCTATTGGATTTCGCCTGGTACAATAAGAATTCTTATTCTCAGATAAGTATAGCTATTTCAGCCAACTGGTCTAAGCAAACTGCGAAAGTAATGCCAATTTCAGGAATTCTTCAGAAATAATTTCCGATGGCCATTAATTTTCTATAAACTCTAACATCTAAATAGAAAAAAACAGTAGGGCTGCTATGGTGTTTAGTCCGTGTCCTGTCCCTCGAATTCAACTGTTTAAGGAATGACATACAAGTACAACCGATTGACAACTTCTATTAAGAACTTACACAAATTTGTAATATTGTTTTACTTTCATTTATTGCAAGGTCATCATTCAATTGGTTTTGAGAATGACCATGTTGTTTATTTGCAAAACAAAATTTACATAAGCTGAATTACTAATGGTTGATATTTGATAACAAGACCTCATTTGAAACGACGTCAAGCTTCTTCTGGTCCTCTCCTTGAACGTTGACAGCGCCCTGAATACCAGTCAAGCTGGAAATGCTAGCCCTTTGCACCAAAGAAGCAATCTGCTTACGTGCCATAGAAATGCTGGAAATCACAATGGTGAGTTCTGCATCAATAACACCGTCTTGTTCCTGCTTCAACAACCAGATTGGTAGTGTCTGAATTTCAGACCCACTTTTTTTCGTTTCTGCCTCTGATGCTGTTCCCACAGCCATGCACCTAACCCTGGCAACGACGTGCCTTATCTCGGTAGTGTTACTGCTGACGTTGCTGGGCCATGACAAAAGGTTTTGGAATCAAAGACGCATAGCTGAAATGGAGAAAGACGAGACAGAGAGCGGAAGCTTGATAACAGTAGTTGAGATGATGCCGTTGCTACAGCTGCTGCAACCGTTATGTTGGTTTTCTTGGTTGGGGTAATTGGTTTTCGGCGTTGTCGTTCTTGTTGATATTTTTATTATATTTCCTGTTACAGCAGCTCGACAGTGTCGACTGGGATTATGTTGTGGGCGTTGAAGGTGAGATTGTGAGGTCGCCAAGCGATTTCTGTTAATTTGGGACCCACTTATCCTTCTTTGGCATTCTTTTTGTGATCATGGTTCACTTGAAGAGTCCAATGGGACGAGCCCGGAAGTGGCTTACCAACTTGGTTGGAATATCAGATATGGGCTGCGAGGCTCCAGATTCGGGCCATGAAAGTCCAGTGGTTCCAATTCACTGCAAATCTTATTGGGTTAGGCTTTGTTAAATCAACTCAACCCAAAAGGGAAAGCTCCATCTTACTGGAATTAAGCTGATGCTTTGGGTCTTATAAATCCCATAAACATGGTCAAATCCAATTCTAATATGTTTATCCAAGTTCATATCATTTTAAAAATGAGAGATAATATGTGTTTAAGTTGAATTAGATCCTTCATTCCTTTTGAATTCTAATTTTTTTTAAGTAACTTTTGAATTCTAAATTATATGAGTCAACTTTGTTAACTTTGTCCCTCGTTGATTATCAACATGATTAGTGGGAAGTAGATGAATCATGAAATGCCTTTTTCTCTGTAGACAACAAAGTATCTATGTCTCCAGCTATTACTGATGTCTAAGTTCTTACGAATTGGAGTTTTAGAACCTAAAGACATCCTTGGTGACCAAGACAACAAAACATGATTATTACTATTATTATTTTCATTGATTATCAATGCCAGCACTTCAACATTTGAGCAAATCAAAGATAAAAAAAGAGTAAACAAAAGAACGAAGATCATTTGAGATGACGTTCGCAAATGCAACATTATTCACATAATTTCCTTGCCTTGAAAGCTTCAAAACCCTTGTCATATTTTTTGCCTAGCCAATACTCCAAAATTGAGGAACAAACTGAAACTTCTTTGGTTTTTTTAATGCAGGCAGCGGCCGCCTCTATACTTCTATGAAGACTAATATTCGTGAACACGGCAAAGATTGACAGATGGCCAACTAACCATCTGAGTCTCTCGATGTGAACAAGAGAACCAACCAGCTTGAGCTAAAATTAAAAGAGGTTGACCTATCAATTTTCCAAAACTTCCAGAAATCAGTTCTTGCCTTATTGGCTTAATTTTATATTTCGGGTTGGCAACTAGGCATTCGCTATTCAACAGGAAACTTGACCCTGTCTGTCTTGATGTCTTTTCTAAAAGGAAGTTGTCCCAAAAATTAGCAAATATAAGTCAATACTTCTTAATTATGAATTATAGCAGAAATTGGCAAATAATAAGTCAATGATCCACAAAATCAAAACATAAAGCTGTGATACATGTGTATATTTCATGTGTTTATTAACATTAATTTATGTGATTTAGGGTGTTAAAAAAATTCATATACCAAGTTGTTCAAAGTTGAAACGTTAAAAATTCTAGAAACAAAAAGTGGATTGGAACTAGAAAATTCTTGGCGTTAGAACTCGGAAAATGCAGGCAAAAAAACACGTTTTAAAGAAGTATCAAACAAAGCATCGATTCTTAAAGCAAACGAAAATATGATTTAAAAATAGTGAGAAGGAAAATTAAAAACTGAAGACCCGAGAAATCCAAATAATAAGACTGGTAAACGGCAAAACGCATCTTTAACTATTGAGGCTAATTCAAGGACCCAAACCGAAGCCGGTGCTTGCTCTCTATATATATAGAAAATAAAGATACCCTTTTGGGTTTGTAGTTCACATTTCTTCGTCTATATATACCAAAACTCCTCTTATCACTCTCCCTCACAAAACAATTACACCGTCTTGTTTTGTCATCAATTCTCCATCTCATTTCAAAGAAACCACGAAACTAGTTTGATCATCCATTATTTACATGGCTTCTTTCAAATTCCCCTTCTTTCTCTTCCTTTCTTCTCTTTTCCTCAATGCTTCTCTAGGTATGTAATTGTAAACATAATTTTCACATCAGAATCCTGTTTTTTGAGCAAAAGGTTATGCATCATCAGTGAACCAAATGCTTGAGTACATTAAACGTATCTTTTATTCATGTTATATCTTTTGTTTGTTTCTTGTTTTGCAGCTGAGATTATATGCGAAGATCTGCCCAAAGATGTGTGCGCGTTTTCGATAGCATCTTCGGGGAAGAGATGTTTGTTGGAAACATCGGTGGAAAAAGATGGGAACGTAGAGTATCAATGCAAGACATCGGAGGTGGTTGTGGAGAGAATGACTGAGTATATTGAGACTGATGAATGTGTGCGTGCTTGTGGTGTTGATAGAAACTCCATTGGCATTTCCTCCGATTCCCTTCTTGAGCCACAATTCACTGCCAAGCTTTGTGCCCCGGCTTGCTACCAAAAGTGCCCCAACATTGTTGACCTTTACTTCAATTTGGCCGCCGGCGAAGGTAAGATTTTATTTTATTTTATTGAATGAATTTCTTGGTTATATCTCATCAACACAATTGATTGTTGACAATTATTTAAAAAAAAAAAAACCAATTCAAGGGTTTATTTCTATAATCAATATAAATAAACATCCTGTCAAATATAAATGAGAATTATATGTATAATAGGTTTTTTAAAAACTTAACAATATGTCAAGAGAATATATCTATTGAATTAGCATATGAAAATTTGATTAAATTATATTATAATTGCAATTCATGTAACTTTTATTAGAATTAAACTATATATATTGATGATCTAATCAACAGGCTTTAATAGAAATTGGAGAGAAAACAAAGGCCCTGTTTTTAAGGAAAAAATTGGAGAACAAACCACAACTTTTGTAATTGTTTCCTATAGAAGATTTGAAATCTCCCCACTCCTTTGTTTAGTTAGATTTACGTTTTCCACAATCTGATATTTCTATGTGATGCTTATTAATGGTTTATAGTTTCTTTTCATGCATGTTTTCCACTTTTTGATATCTTTTGTTTCACGTAAAAGCAATGTCATGATGCTTTGCTTGTGACATTTTACCTTGAGATTGTATTGTTGGTAATGAATTCTGAAAGTTCCTCGAGACCCCATTAATTTAAGAATAAAAACTATTGTATCTTCTTTTTTCTTTTTTGGATAAACAAAATTGATGTATATTCTACGGTTGCTTGCAGGAGTACTTTTGCCTGATCTCTGTGACGCTCAGCGGGCCAACCCTCGGCGTACTATGGTCGAGCTTATCTCGAGCTCCGGCGCCGCCCCTGGCCCTGTTTCTAGTAAACCAGCAGGACCATTGGCTGCCGGTGAAGCTCCTGCCCCAGCTCCCCTGTGATGATCAAGTCGCTTTCTTCAGTAATGTTTTCATCAGAATTACCTTGCTTCCAGGAATAATTTAGAGAGAATTTTAGAGAGAATGTATTCGGGGTTTGTTTATACGAGTGGAGTTTGCTGAGGGCTATGGTGTAGGGGGCAGCAGGGGGCAGCGGTAGCCAGCAGGCAGCTGCTTTTTTCCTTTTCATTATTTTTCTAAAACGAGCATATATGTTTTCCATTCATTACAAATTAATACCACTATTCTCTCTTAAATTAAATGCTGATTCTTACAACTAACCTAGCAATGCTTGCTATCATGTACACATATATATATTTATATATATATATATATATATATATATATAGAGAGAGAGAGAGAGAGAGAGAGAGAGAGAGAGAGAGAGAGAGAGAATGTTAAAAACATGGAAAATGGAAAAGGTACTCAAAAATATATGCTTACCAATCTTTTCACATTTGATAGAACTTAGAGACAAGCTGAAGGAATATCCACTAACGCTGTTGGACCTCAATATTTGATTTGGTACCGCAAGGTTGTCTCAATCACTAGCCCAACAAGAGTTGAAAGGTCCACTAGTCCATTCTGTTCATCAATTCTGGGCCCAATTTCACAAGGACCAATTCTTTTTGGACCAACTCCGTGTGCAATAGGGCCTAAGCGATTTTATATATTGTGGATGCACAATTACTTGCATGTGTTTAGGGATGTAAATAATATATTAGTATTCGTAAGTTACTCGGGTTTGATTTGAAGAAAACTCAAATTCGGTTCGATTATTATCGAGTCGAGCTCGAGCTCGAGTAGCTCGACTTATCGATCGAATCGAATTCGAGTATTCTTATATCTGGTTTGAGTAACTCGCGAGCTTAATCGAATTTTTATATTTAAATATATTTTTATTATTTTAATTAATAAACTATTTCGAATTCGAGTTCGAGCTCGAGCATAAATAATCGAACTCTTATCGAATATACGAATCGAGTTTATTTTTATATATTAATTGAGCTTAATCGATCGAGCTCGAGTAGCTCAATCGAGTTCGAGCTTGAAAAATAAAACTCGATCGAGTTCGAGTCGAGTATCGAACCGCGAGTTATGAGTCGAGCACGAGCTCGAGCTCGAATTTTTCACTGTATCGACTCGACTTGACTTGATTACACCCCTACATGTGTCTAAGTAGAGGAAGGAAATTTAAATGAAGAAATCATAGAGGGCACCATCGTTGGTAGACAAAGCTAGGAGATGGTTTGGTTGTGATCTCTAGCAACTGTTAAGGTTTTAACTTATTATCGATATTTAGACGCTATGGTTCTAGAAGAATTTTGAAAGAAAATTTCGAACTCTATGATTTGCCAATAAAAAATGTAACTTGTAAAAGTTAACAAAGAAAACCAAAATTTTTTTTATGCTGTCAGTAAAATTAAAGAATTAAAACGTATACTTACGAATATTTTAATTTTATTTTTTAATCAAACTTCTTGTCAAAGAAATGAAATGGTAGAATTGTATAATGAAAGAACCAAAATATAGGGACAAAAGAACAAGAAGAAAGACCAATATGAAAAAAGAAAATAACAAAGGAAATAAATATGGTATAATTTTATAACTACATATAAATATCATGGAAGAATATGAGCTAAATACAACTTGCTTTTGACCAGATTCAAAGGACTAATGTATCATGAATATCATTATTCGATATAAAATCTGTTGCATTTGCTTTTATTTCAACTGAACTTCTAGCATTCTGGTAGATCTGCCGGAGGAGGGGGCAAAGTTGTTGAGGGTGTTGGTCCGTTCTCAATCACGAAAGCAGTAGCCAGGCCCCAAGTCAAGTGCACGTCCAAGTGACAATGCGTTATCCATGCACCTATACATTTATATTGAAGAGTTTTTAGTATACTCAATCGAGAAAAGATTTGACTATATGTCTAATTGTAACTTATGAATCAAATGTAATGGTAATGGAAAATTAACCCGGATTATTGGCTGTGAATCTGATGACAGCCCATCCTCCAACTGGAACGCCAACAGTGTTTCGCATTTGTGGGTCAACAAGGTTAAAATTCTTCCTATCCGTGAGAGGGTTATAGTTCCCAAACCCTTGAGCCAATACGTGAAAGTTTAATCCATGGATGTGCATTGGATGATTCTCCACTCCAATAATAGCTGTGTTCTGCATGATCATCTCTACTGTTGAGTTGAACTTTAGCTTCGTCACTTTGGTTGGTTTTGGAGCAAAGAACAGCGATGGGTTGTTGCCGATGTTAGTAGCATTGGTGTAGTCAAATTCAATAGGGGGCTTGGCAGGGAAATCTGTGGTGTAAAGCCCGCCAACGTTTAAAAAAAAGGCTTGTAGCAAAGGCAATGTCGTCGGTAGCACGAAGGATTGGTTGTTCATGCTGGCCGAGAATTTTGCTCCAACTGGGCCTTGGCATGTCATGTTTGCTGGACAGCGTTCGAGCCCCATTCCAATCGTCACAAACATTTTATGGTCCACATTTCGCAGGACCTCGACCCAGTGAGGCCCACCTTTCAACCCGGTTAAATTTCTGAAAAACTTGTGGGCTGTAGGGTGTCATTGAACGCTGGGAGGGCTGGCATTAGCGGTGTTGAAGATGATGGGCGCCATCATAGACGACGACACCCCTCGTGGTTGTATTATCGAACGGTGCAGCAGCTGCGCTAGCATATGGTCTAGCGGCCATGTAATACGACCCAACATGCTGATCAGCGGCTAGCAAAACGTCAACTGTCTGGCCAGGTGCTATAACGACGACGTTGGTGACGTAAGGTTTGGTGTAGGTGGCATCGACAGCGACAACTGTCAGTTGTGATTGGCTATCTTGTAGAAAAGCTGTGCGTTGAGTGCAGCGTTGATTATGCGCAAGAGATAGGTCTTTCCTGTCTCCACCTTAAGCTTGTACATATCTGATGAAAATCATAACAGAAAATATTACTTATATTAATTAAGAGATTAATTTATAGAGCAATCAAATGTATTAGTGATTATGGCTAATTACGATTTTGAGAGCATGGGTAGAGATAACCGGGCTATCCATTTATTGTGTAAGCATCAGAAACATTTGGAGCAGCTCCAGTAGCAACTCCCTGGTTCTCAACATCGATGACATTAGCATTCCACCACTCGCCTGCAATTCAAAAATACTACATTCTTTATTATTTTCATTATAAATTAGGAAGTGCCTTTTAAGACATTCATCGTCTTGAAACTTAATTTAATTGATACATATAATTATTTTTAAAAGATGAGATTTAATAAATTTAAATTTTAAATTTCAACATTTAAAATCACTTTCCTTGTCTCTATATTATGGCATCCTTTGTACCAAAAAATAATTAATTGAGTGCTTAAGATATGTCGTTAAATACTATTATAATATATAAATCTGAAAATTTATAGTTAGATTAAACAATTAAAATCACCATTAATCTTTTTTAGTTAGATGTAATAGGTTCAGGTCTACTAATCAGAATATGATTTGAGAGTTCGATTACATATGGGTAAGGTTATAGAACTCTTATATGCTCATCCGAAGGATTGTACCATTTTATTTTAAATTTATCATAATCTCTTGATTTTAATGGTCTTAATCTTTAATGTTGAATATTGAAAATAATTTTTAAGATTATTTATCAATTTGATAGAATTCTTAAAAATATTTTTTCGCCTCAAGAGTATTCAAGAATCCCATTTGTTTTCTTGAAGAGGCTCCGTCGTCGAAAAGTTTATATTTTCATTATTTTGATTTTTTTATTAAAAATATATCAAATTATTTCACAATTTGGGCTAAATTAGAAATATTTCCTCTTTTAGAATTTATAAAATTTTCACCATTTGCACTTATTTAGAATTTTTTTTAAATTTTTTATTATTGGCAATAAATATTATGGCAATTATTTTTTTAAGGTTTCATTTAAATTCTTCTACCGTTTGGGACGAATTTAAAAAAAGTTTATATCTAGAGATTTTTTAAGAATTTATCATTTGAAATTTCTAAGATTCTTATCCTTGGATACTTGTTAAATATTTTCAACTAAATTTTTTATTTGAAAAAGAATACAATTACTTTTATTGAAATTTTATCTAAATTATTCTACCATTTGGGACAAATTTAAAGAAGTTTTTCATCTAGAGATTTCTTAAGAAATTTACCATTTGAAATTTCTAAAATCTCATTTTTGGGTAATTTGTATTTAATTCCAAAATTTTTATTAATATTTTTTCAATTTATTTTTTTGATTTTTTTGTTTGAAAATAAATATTAATTATTGTTATTGAAATTTTATTTAAATTATTCCATCATTTAGGACAAATCTAGACAAAATTTCATATCTAAAAATTTTATAGAAATTTATCATTTGAAATTTTTAAAGATTCTATCATTGGATAATTATTATTTATTCTAAAAAATATTTTTATTTATATATATATTTTATTTTTTTTCTAAATTTAATTATGAAAAAAACTTATAAAATAAATATAATAACTAAATAAATAAATAAAATACCAAAAGTGGCTCGGCTTGGCGGCTGAAACAGCTTGGTTGGAAACACAAATAACGACTTGAAGATGTGGCTCGAGAGGTACGGGTTGGCTCAACTCAGTTGAAAGAGTTGGCTGAAATGTGGGTTGACAGAAGCAAGTTATGCTTGGGTCAGGTCACCCAAATGAAAACACGTGGATCTTGATAACGTTTAAAGGCGAAAATTGTGTCGTTTTGATGAGGGGATAAAGCCCGAGCTCAGCTTTTTCCCTCGATTTTCCTTCTCCCCTTCTTTTTCCTTTTCCCCTTTTCTCTTCCTCTTTCTTAAACCAGATGAACTCCAATTGAATATTCACCAAATTTTAAAAAATGTTGTTGGCATCTGGGTTTATTCATCTGAAGTTGGTTGAAAGTTCATCGATTTTTAAAAAGCTGTTGTTGAAAATTGGGGAACATGTCGAAATATGGAAATCTTGTCAGAAAATTCAAACTTGAAAATTCCACATGAGTCTAAAAATTTCTAGGACAAAATCTTTTTTTTAACCCAAAAATTTTTGGACAAATTTTTGACTGCTTTCGCGTGCTTTTTCTGATCTCTGTGCTTTTGTGTTTCTCTCTGTTTTTTTGTGTCCTTTGCTTTTGATCAGTATAGGTATTTATAGGATGTAATCATAAGAGTTTTTGATTAACTTCGACTCCCTCTTTGATAAGGTTTTAGTATTATCA